ACACAACAATGTACTTAAACGTTCTTTCAACTACTATGCTCTTCATTCATGTCCCAATTAAAAACATATCCGTGTCTTGTGTGCAGATTAAGGTCGGCAAGTACATCAAGCAATTGCACTGGCTGCTGGTGATCTGTAAGGATAATACGAGGGAGCAACCGGCGCCGGTGGAAGGTGGGTTGCAGTTTGGGATTCATGATTTAGACTTAGAAGTTATCATATGGTATCATAACCGTAAGGAGGTATAATTTACGCTTCTCTCGATATACATGCACTATGCACTCATATTTGCATTTAAGACTAAAATATCGAGTTAAACACTCATATTATATAAAACAGGGAAAATGCCCTGGAGTGCATTCGGGGAAGACGTGACGCAACTAAAGACCGACTTCCCCATGAACACTTTAAAGAAGGGTGTTCTGCGATACACCTTTGAACCCCTCATTGTGGGCGATGGGTATGTACGATTAGTTTTCAGCGTTGTGTTCTCTTCTCGGTGATGAATGAGGCGTATATTGCAGCTGTTTGTGCGAGATTGTATATTTTCAAAGAACGGAGATATGGGCTATTTAACAGATTCTTTATTTTGGTACGTAATTTCAAAATATATATAGAAGCATATATGAAATGTAATTCGCACGGATTTCTTCCCACAATCGAGCTTGCTTGAGAATATTCAGACAATCTAGACTATAGGTTGCACATATACTCACACCGAATTACATTTTTAGACTGTGCGTTGCGAACTGGATATTCGAGAATCGCATTTTCTTAGTGCCTACCCTTCATGTTTCCTTGAACACTCTATTTTCACAGATATGCGAGGGGGAGCACACAAACATTATGGATTTACACCTACGATCAGAACGATGTCGTACATCATCTCCACCAGACGGTCCGCATGAGTGTGTAACATTTTATTTATGTATCCATGTATCTGGTGTATGTATGTGTATGTTTATAAAAAATGGTTAACATCTGAGATTTTTATATTTCGCCTCAATCATAGCATGCAAGCATAGATTTCTTGTACGCATGGTTATGAATAATTAATATTTATCAAAGTATATCAATTTTTCAGGGCAACATTCTAGTATATCTCTTTTTCATGCTCTGTTTTAAGTGTATAAGCATATTTAATACAAACCTACTGTTTGTATGAGTATACTACGGTTTCTACGAAAGTCATCCCGCGTCTGTTGGAAAACACAGAATATTTATTCGCGCATAGTGGTATTCTTTGAATGAATATGGCTGATAGATTCTTCGAATGTGTGTATTTGATGGAGATTCTCATCAGCGTCTTTGTATGCTCAGTATACATGTACGCTTCATGGCTTAAACTAAATGGTTCTCATGAACACGCCAAGTGGGCAATCCAAACCCCCCCAATAAAGATATGACAGATTCTGATATCAACTCTCCCCTCCCCATTTCTTTAGGCTCATTATACGCATTGACTTACAGTTATATCGTACTGTTAGTGGTCCAGACAGCACTAAAACATAAACTAATCGTACGGTCGCACACCTGGGCACCGTCTATCCAGTGAATAACTATTATTACATTGTGGGTATATTGCATCAGAACTCTTGTCATATGTATGCACTCCATCGCTACCAACGGATCCACTGTATAATGTATATTGCGATCGATACACATTCTGATATACAAAGACTTCAATTGACTATAAATGTTTAATGAGGCTATCACACACTCTCTGGTACACTCTCGTATACAATAACTTTAGTTGGCCAAGCAGACTCGGCGGGAGGAAGTAGATTACCAGTGAGTACACTGTCACGCGTGTCATCTCGAGTGAGCACTAACAGCACAACAGAGAGTTTGCACAGCACCACCTCAGAGGATAGCCAGCCACCACCACCGGCATATGCGTATGTAATAAATCAGAACATAATGAGTGTATGTAGCAAGTTTATGTATATTTTATTTGAGTGTATGTGATACATAAGTTCATGTAGCAATCAAGTATATCTAGTTTCATATATATTCTCGAGGCAGTTCCACCAGCACGACAGAAAGCATACAATTATCCATTCAGACGAGAGTCAGCATCCACCAGCATACACATATATTCTTGGACGGGACATATTCGTGTGGGTTACAAATAATTTAATGTAATCAGGAAGCGTGTATTACATATAGATACAAGCGAAAATACGTGTATGTATCATATAAATGCAAGTAGCAAGTGATAGCAAGTGTGTGTACATAATGGTTGAGCGCTTTTTTGTTGTAAGCGTAAGGAATACGTAGGAGGCTATTGCGACAGCCACCTTATTGCCCACTTTAATTTCAGCAATCCCACTAATGAATAATTAGTATATGGCTGATACAAGATATTCAACGTCCGTAGTTGATATCCTATCAGCATCTGTATATGCTGCGCATGTGGCAATTGAACGTTGTGCGTGTATAACCGGCTATAGAAAATCAATAAACGTAAATGTTGCGAATGTCGCTAATACTTTCATGTTGCAAATGGATGTGGTGAGAAAGTGGGCGCATACATCAAAACAAAACGGCATATATGCAGCGTTTGCAGCGGGTTTGAGCATACCATATCTACATGGTGGCATTTGAGCATGTAAAACGTGACAGAAAATCACTACATGTTTATAGCTATGTGTGTAGCACGTTCACACTATTCCAACTTTCCCGCATGAATACACGACCTTGACCCGAGTTCCCATACCCCATGTAGGTCGTGAAACATCTAACTTTATACCTACTCGTTTGCCGCTTTCCAAAATTACCAGTTACATATTCGAACGTTCCATACTTGACGCACCCTCTGTGTGCAAACTGTACCTGCAATTAAAATACTCTACAATCTAACAGTCTAAATTATACCGCTTCACTCTCTACCTTCATCACGATACGCTAGGTGTGTATGCTACTTCACCCCCCCCCCCCCAACCCCCGGCGTTGGGAGAGGATTTGAATCAATCGTATCTCGGAGACGAGTATAGTGTTTGTACGCTCACCATCTATGCACATATATCTGTTGTTGTATTCGACATGTACACATGCATTGCTGGTTCCTCATGAGACCACTGCTCGCACTGACAATACTCGACTCCGTAGTCGGCACATACATTTTCAGCCCACCAAGCCACTACCGACTCATGGAATGAGCTCTACACCATAAAAATCCATAGATTTTCAAAATGTACTCATGATTTTTGTTTATTCTTGTCCAATAGGGAGCCAGACGGTCATGCAGTCTCTAATGACAGCATGCAAGACGCTCGCGGAAGAAGCAAAGGTATTAAGAAAAAAAACAGCACCGCATCGAAGATTTTGAAACCGAGAATGACAGATGATGTCGTAAGTACACCCGATGAAGTTATCAAGAAGAAAACCCTGGCCACGGTTGAGGTTTACTTGTTGGTAAGTGCCTGATTTCTGTATTTTAACCAGTGATATCTTCTTGTGTTGGTTAGGGTCAGTCTTAAGGGTTCAAGAAATATTGTTCAAAATCAAGGATACAAGGGCCAGAGTCCTAAAATGACTGTGTCTTCGGGTGGGCTTTTATGGACTATTTCAGATTTATTTTTAGCCTGATAAGGAATAACCGTAAAAATTGGCAAAGAGTGCGATTAAAAGAAATGTGAGGCATAGTACGGTGATTATCAATATTTTGAAGATTCCGTAAAACCGTCCTACCTTGATTGTCTTTGATTCTTGATTGTAAAATCAAAGTGCTATCCGAATTTGACGAAACGCACTTCTGTTTCGCGTTCAACTTTCAAGGTTATAAAGGATTTCATTGGCTAATGTGCCTTGATCGAAAATTTGAATGTGGAAACTTGAACCCTTAAGACTCGCCCTTATAAAATCGATGGCTGAATGCAAAAAGATTAGTTTGATAGTGGTAGTTAAGAGTTCTATTTCCAGCGGCGAACTGCCCTTATAGATACTTTTATTTCTCTTTTAAAAATGCTTTGATATTGTTTTTTTTTAGTTCGATGCGTTTCTAAAGTTATGACCATCCTCAAAATGTAACTGCCTCTGAGAGAAACAAGTTCCGTGCACTTCTTGATTTATATGTTTTAATTTAAGATTCGAATCCTTGCTGACTACACAAGTGTAAGTTCCTCTATCGCACACGTGAACTACGAGTGTATATCCTCATCGAGTGTGCATAGTTCTTACAGTGATAAAACAACCCATAGTTTTTTTCTTCTGTCATTGGAATCAGCACATTGCATCCACTAGCATTATGAGATGTACCTGCGCGAGTGTATCCACTGTCTACAATTGTGTATTACATATTTGTACAATACACCATTTCTTTTGATTTGTTTCATGATAACAATACTCTTGTTGTCCATAATGCAATATACGTGGACTATCCGTATCCTAACTAACTTTGTGATTCTCAACTTTTGGGAATTGAAACTATACAGGGGATCATCCTACTGCAATTTATAGTGATCGTCACACTAGCGAGACTGGTATACACACAGAGTCTGCGCATTGCCTATCTCGAGCCCGAGGGTTGGGAACCCAATGCATGACTCGCCATAGATACAAACAAAGTAAAACCTAAATCATGAACATAAAAAGAATATAATTCTATTTTTCCTTCCAGATTTGAATGATGACGCCAAACAAGGATATTGTCATATTTATACGATAAGAGTAAGCAAAAAAATTAGTACATAAGTGTTCTCAATGTCCAATAAACGCGTAAGGCCATGGCCCCGTGAAGTGGGAGCCAAGCCCCCGCATTCAAGGGCAACACTATATTGAACATCAGCCGTCGGTTTATTCTGCTGTTGAAACCCCTGTCGTATATTTGGCTGACCTTACACTGCGTTCAACTGTGAATTTGCATCTCACTCAGTTTTGACTGAATAAGGTGCTTTGCCTCTATTTGGGCTATGCTGCTATGGCGTGGCTATTAGTATCAGCTCCTAAATTGTATATGTGTGTGAACCCATTGATGTTGCTATTCAGATAAATGTATCGCACAGCAATGCCTCGTACACATTTGCATATAATGGCACTGCGAAGACTTCCGTTTTCTTTTTACGTTCTACGCGCATTTTGCGCCTTTCGTCTTCAACGTCTCCAGCATGTTTTCGCATATATACAAGCACATATGTTTGAGTACATATGCACCCATATTTTTTTTTGGAATGTGTGACCGTATGTACACATGCGATGATGTAGCTAAAACAATACCGAAGCCACATAGTATCCAAGGTTGCATCCTCCGAGCAAAAAAAAACCCCCACAATACCGTTGTCGGTTAAGTAAGAGTATCTCAATTCGACTGTGCGTACTCTGAACTTCCTCTGAATACATAGATCCAGTTTGAGCACCATTGTGAACCCACTGAGCATACTCCTTTTCCTGATGCTTCAACATCGAAGGTTTACGTTGGACCTGAATCTATAGTGTATAAATAATTAGCCAGTTTTGTCTGGCTGGGCCCGTCTACTATCAAGGTCCGTTGTAGACAGCATAGTTGCGTTTATAGCTGCGAGTGCGCACATCTGCCTCGCGCCCCTTATGCTCGATCTGTGATGTTATCGAAACCTCGACCACATATGGTAAATCCATGAATTTGCGGGTAACTGAAAACTGCGAAGGGTATTGTAAGTACTGAATAGTCCTGATCTACCCCTGCGATGGGATTGTGTCGTCATACGGCCGCAAATCAAGCGTGAGCGAGTTGCTTGCTTCAAGGGCCTTATCTCTGTAGATGCCTACGATTCCATCGGCTTTGTCGTAGAACGAGTCCTTGAGCGAGATGACAATGCACTGTAGTAACGAATGATAAGAGAGGCTTACAGGATGCAATCAGAAACAGAGGAATCATATTTGTTACAAAACTGAACTACTGTTGTCAAAAAGTGGCATGCCTAGGTTCTGGTTCTAAGTGGATCAAGAATGCTTAGACTAGTGTAACACTAGTGTAGAAATACCGAAGACGCACAATGATACACCCGAAAAGTGGTACCGTACATACAACAAGGATATAGCCTACCATCAACACGTAAAAAAATTATTCTCGGAGTTGGTATAGCAACTTAGATGGAAAATTGACAAAAACAATTTAAAAAAAATGCTGATGCAGTGTCTAGATAAAACTTATTGAACGACGGGTGTGATAAACACTGAGAACGCGTGCGAGGAAGTTACCACCACGTTGAGGAGACACGGACGCAGTGTAGGAGAAATACACTGATGATCATAGAAATACTGACAAACGGCTAAGAATTACACCAATCTGCTAAGACATGTGAGACAATGACCAATAATAAATCAACATACACAAACAACTTTTGCGAGTGACTACAAAAGGCATGCATGTGGAGCTGGTGTTGGCACGTGCAACGACAAGGTAAGTTTGTTCAACAGGCTGTGTATAGAAGCGTTTTGCTTGATCCAGAGTGAAATACCTGGAAGTCGCCAGACCGCTGCTTGATGTACGTCGCGACTTTGTGCACATTGACTGCATCAAGCGCGGCGTCAATCTCATCCATGATGAAGAAAGGCGACGGCCGAAAGCTATTCGGTACGGAGTGCAAATACAATTAAGCAAGGTCTCAACATTCTTGAGCTATATCTATCAAGTCCGATTTAAGCAAGGTTTCATCAGAATAGATATCAGTTGTGACCTTCTCATCACAGCTGCCTACGAACATACGCGCAGATGAACACATACAGCTCAAGTAGGACACATCGAAACATTTCAGGTCATTTACCTATGAATCGCAAACAGTAGAGCCAAGGCTGCAACGGTCTTCTCGCCTCCACTGAGCTGTTCCATGTCTCGGAAACGCTTAGAGGGAGGCATCGTGTTGTATTTGATACCGTACAGATACGGCTCCTACGGGTATGAGGCAAAGCACAGAACAGAATGAGAACTACTACGCGATGTCAGTGTTTGATTTCGGGCAATTCAACGAAAACCTGTACTTGGTACGTCTGCATAATGTCTCGTTAGAATTGGAGAGACCCCAAACAATTCGAGAATTATGGCGATAGAATTTGATTTCCGAAACGTTGATACAAAAATCAATTCATAGAGCTGGTATCAGGAGTACACCACGGAATACAATTGACTGTGATTTCGCAACTGGCGTAAATGGTCGCAAAGACTGTCTCAAACTCAAGGCTATAAAAGGCAGTTCTTCGAACCGGCTACACCGGTGTACTTTATTCATGATGTAAAGTATGGACTTGCGTCCAACTCAGATATTCTAAACCACTCACGACTTTCATCCAAAAGGGTATTAGCTGAAAAGACAGTCATCTGGATACAACGAAGAGTGATGTGAAGATTCTCAATAGCTGTGATAAGACATGCACGTATAAGTATGGAAGCTACGACATTCAAGAAAATATGTAACGTTCGTACAGATACGTTAGAAAATTCTGATATTGACACACATTGATACACAAACACACAAAGGCTTGCTTGTGCTGTATGTCTGTACACAACCTTACACACACAGGAAGACTTAATATCCTCACACACACCTCATTGCTCTCCAGAGTCAGGTATGCTGTGCCTCCAGGGGCCCTCGACTTCACGTTACGCGTGAGCTCTTTGTAGATGGTATCGATCTGGCCCGAAATATGTGTGTAAGCCTTGTCGAACCTGCAATGTGATGGATGGATGACAGTATGTAGACGTATGAAACTAAGGTTTGCGAATAAACTGTACTCGATTGTTCCGCAGATACGATGAAGGATGATTAAATATATTTTTCTTCTTCAATTAAGGTAGCAACCTCAAAAAGGTGATTGATCCTCGTGTACTAGCAATGTAATCGATGAAGCGACAGCATAAAGGCAAACAGCAATATACAAATGCACAGACCATTAGGTATATCGACATGCAATTTGCATGGCACTATAAAAACTATTAGCTTGAACGTTCTATAGCAAAAACCGATTTCGATAGTGCGTCTTTGGCAGCCAACTCCTAATATCGCGACATATAATACCCACGCGCTCGAATATTAGAATCAACGGATAAAGATCTATCTTTTGGACCCGTACCATCCATCTACTGAATACATACAGGAAGGCAAAGGCACCTTTCAATAACACGGCGTGCTCGCTTTGAAAGCATACGAGTGTAAAATATCAAGGCAAAATGACATATTTGAATATCTGCAAAGATAATCTCCTTGTCTAGACTTAGAGAATTTGTTGTAACGGGCTGCAGGTTTGTGGATACGCATTCACACTATATGTATGTCTAGGAATATTTCAGCACATGTATATACCCGTGTCAACAACATACAATTGGAACCGCTTCTTCTGCATGGCGCGAAATTGGGAATCCGCTTTCTCTGCTCTTTCTCGCGCGGCATCGAATTCAACCTGCAATATCAAGTAAGATAATTTGTCGCGATTATCAACACGCGTTTCGTTGGGTAACTACTACTGCGAAAACTTGGCATCCGATGCAATCTACATCTTAGTATTCCTCGTTAATGCAGAATTTAAGCGCGTCCAAATCCTATAGAAAGGTTTGCAATTGTGTACACACGAGAGGTGCCATGTATTTTAGCTATTGTGTAAACACGATAGAATCATCGGTACCGGTATTGTGCATAAATGGTTTAGCACAAATTTTTAGCTGCACGTGTGTTTCCAGCGTTTAACTGAAAATTATCTATATCGTCTGAATACTACGTATGTGTAAATATAAGTATGTAAACAATAATATAACGTGCCTCGATGGCCTTCAAGCGCTTGCGTACACCGTCCAGCTTCTCCACCGCCTTCATATTAGGAGCCATGTTGTCGATCTTGCTCGCAATTTTCTTCAGTTTCTCGGTGTATTGTGCCATTACACTAGCTACGTCGCTGGGGTCTTCTGTACAAGTGACGTTGTCCGGAATTACATACATTCGCTTAAGTTTACATATGGTTTACACGTACAATTGCGACACTTGATCAGACCACCAGACAAAGCTATAACCTTTTACAAAAGAAGCTCACGAAGTAAATTTTGTCTCCTATTAAAATTCCAGTTGGTGTACATACCTAAACTTCGGATCTCATCCGATAACTCATCGAAATTGATTTCAATGCCCGCGTCTGTGAGCACATCTTCTGATACAGAGACGTCCCTCTCATCCACATCCATAGTATCGTCCGCCGAGGTATTCATACCTGAGATATAGTGGGGAATTGAACATGCATGCATAAATTATAATGCACCAACAGGTATGTATATATATATATATATATATATAAGAGTAAATTTGTACACGTATACTCATGTATGTGTAAAATGACGATGTAAACATGTTCCTCCCAATTACGACCTTGTGTATTCCGGAAATAATATACTTAAGCATACTAAAATAACAATATTGCACTTCCAGTCGTCCATTAAAGCATTTTACATGCATCCACTACGGCCGAAATTGTCATCCATTGAAAAAGGTAGTGAATCTACACCCGCTTACCATCCGGCAAAAACACGATACATAGACAAGTAGTGTTAGAGCCACATTCGCAATCACTCCCCCTGCCAATCCATTCATCGGAAAAGCAGCAAATACATACTCAACGTGGTAGAAGTTTCTGCCCCATTCATATTACAGAATCAATGCATAAGTACTCACCCGCCAAAGCCACATTCTCCATCTTGCCCTTCTTCAACGGGATTTCGATCTCCTCCACTAAGCACGCCATCAGAAGCGAGCGCCGTTTGCTACGTGCTTGTTTCAAGTCGTTCAGCTTCGAGGCCTGTTTCGAAATTGGGACAGAGTCAGATGTAGATATTGCAACGATCAATGTCTACATAGAATACTGCACATATGCAAATTTTCTAGATATGTGGATTAGACACGAATACCTATGAAGCTACCAAGAGAGCTTCTGTTATATTTTCGATCACCTGTGAAAAAGATGGCGATAGGGACATGAAACAGAGAGTACAGCCGAATACACTGAGATTCATCCAGTCAGATAGGGCACGCATCAAAAAAAAATATGTTATACATATTCTGTATGATTACACGATAATAGTCAGTTGTGGAAAAAATATTTCGCGACAAAACTTGTCTACTTTCGAATAAAAAGCTATGCATTGCTGCGGCAGTGAATGATTTGTGGGAGCGCGATCATTCGTGGGCGCGTACTCACACAACGTATACGAGCTGTGTAATGTAAGCATACAAAGACAATTACACGCACCCCAAGGTGCACATGCGCATAAAGAACGTTGTGCAGCATTGTGTAAAACGGATGGGCCGTAGGCCACACCGCAAGTCATAGCTTGCGCATCTCTATAGGTAACAATACCAGACCATTTGATCGTTGTCATTCGCGTCAACAAACCAAACAAGAGTCAATACGGAACTCGTGTGTACGCGCACATGCCATCTACATACCAGGCTATGCGCTGGTGACTAATACCTCTGCAACCCCCCAGAAAAGTGTGTTTGCGCACATACCATCTTCTGCTGGGCGCTGTTGAGGTGGTCTGATGCGGAGTTAACCTGTTTTTTGAGTTCTCTGACACTTACATCGATCTCGTCAACTTTGGTTTTGAACTGATTCTGGTCATTGATAAGTGTGGCCAGTTTCTCTTCAATGGCAGTCATGGACTCCGAAAGCGTGATGGACTGTGTTTCGAGCAGCCCGAACTCCTCCTGGAGAGCTGCAATAGCCTGTGTACCAATGAGACAACGAGCATTTAGTAGAGCTACAAGACCAAAGCCTGCCATATCAGCACCCAAAATTAACGATAGTGCGCTCGTACCCTTTGGCAATCTTCACCTGCTAAGACACGAGACCGACTTCTCGAAACGAGTGAACTATGTAGGCGGCTGATGCGCCTATCAAACCATACTATTTCATGCCCATGACACGAAGCTTTCCCTACTAGCACCCACCCATCGGCCACAATTCACCCACACGTACCTTCTTGGCAATCCTCACTTGCGAAGATACGAGGCGTGACTTCTCAAATTCGAGTGAGCTCTGCAGGCGGCTGATGTGACTGTCAAATTCCAAGAGTTTTCGTGCACGCTCACGCTGGACCTTGATTTCGGTACCCTGTGGTTCGATTAGATGCGCAAAATGCAGTTAGCTTATATCGCTCTATGGTCTCGCTATGTGAACTCTGTTTCTGGGTGTGAGGTGATGTAATATGAGTGGTGTTGGGTATTGTGCGAGCGTAACTTATGTTATGAAACAAAGACATATATGTAAGGCCTGTACACACCTCGTAGTGGGAGATATTGTTGACCCCCACACTTCTGCATCCCTCTAACCCTCGAGTACTGTGATCTATGTACAGACTCGTGGTCATAGGAATAGACATCTGACCTGTAAGTACCTTCTGAAATCGTATTTTCTTTATCTCCACACAAGCATATAAGTCTCCAGTTTCTTGATATGTAGACACACGCGTACATAGCCATTGTCACAGATATACGTTTGGTACATACCTCGTAGTCTCGGATATTGTTAATTCCAACACTTGCACAGAATTCCGCGAACACTTGGTCCACCACTGCATCTCTTTCTCTCTCGAGTACCGTGACCTTTTCCTTCGCCTTGGCGGCTGCTTGGCTGTATTTATTGATCTCGTCCTCAATTTGGGTTATTTCTTTTTCTTCCACTTTCGCACTGAGTTTGTTGATGTTCATGGTGGTGATCTGGAATGTTCAAGACAAGTATTGTGATTTTATGGGCGGCGATAAAAAAAATTATCTGGTAAGAAATATATTTGTGTATCTGTAATGACAAGATTAGGGCGGATTGAATTGAGAATATGGTTAGATTTAAATGACTTGGAAGAAAGGGTGATATAGCCTGATGGAACGAACGAAAGATTCGGAACCCAATATACAAGATAGTACGCGATGAGAATTTGAATGCGAATAGAAATATATGGGAATGAGCATACGAATAGATATGCACAGTTTCGATTGCGCTCCACTCCCAATCACGGGCTCTCTTTAACAGCTGTATATCGACGATATACAACATTGTGCACGAATATGTACGGTAGTGTACAAACCCCATTTTACCCCACTTCCAATCACGCACCTTCTTTGGCAGTTGTACATAGATGATGAAAACCAAGTTTCAGCACGGGAATCTAAACTACACGCACAGGAAATATCTCAGAGATATAAGCCCATATTCTGCAAAATAAATCCACCCTCACAGTATTATTGAGGTGCGACATATCGATGTTTTTATGAGCACAACAGTTTGGATACACTTCCTCAGACCCCAGAAGGCAAGCACACACGTATTCATAAGTACACCACTCAGTTTTGACCAACTCTAATATAGTATAGAATGAAAATTTAGGTCTGGATATCAAATACATACCTCCATGTCCTGCTGAAACTGACTCAGTCTTTGTTTCGCTGCTGCAAGTTGTGACTTTGCCTCGTCTAAACTTCGCTCCACACTGGGCACTGAGCTTTGCAATGCAGTTACGTCCCTCTGGTACTGAATTCTCTCCCGTTTGAGTTCATCGATGGCCTAGTTATGTAAAGACAGGAGAAACAATATGAAATCTGTTAGACAATATAGCGTCCATTGGTCGAAATTGAACATTGTTTTATTGAACAACGACAGACATTCTAAATTCGATATATATATAATATACAAATTTCATCTAAGTGGAGCAGATGCAAAGACTTCCAAAATCTATAGAAAACCAGATACGGTAAAAACCGGCATAAATACAACAATATTTTCTAACCAGCAACCCTGACATTAAAGTAATAGTAAGTTATAGAATTAAATAATGTTACAAGATGGAGTATTTTGTGAAATAGTGCAGCCCAGCCAGTAATGACCGAAGATTTAACTCCAGCAAAGAACGCCACAGCAAAAACGTGAATGAAAATATAATTACAGTGGTATGTTGATAAAATCAAGCTGGAATACCTTTTGTTCCCACTTGGCGGCGCGACTTTCAACACCGGTAAGACCTCCGGTCATGACACCCTGTAATGTGAGCAACAATTAAAAAAAGTTCAGATATGTACTTTCAGGTCATGAATAAATTTGGAACAGAATATAGCTTGCGAGAATTGACATCGGGTTAGTAGTATGGACAACGGCAAATACATACATAAACTGAGAATCAAATTGCTAATAAACACCGAACCCATTTTAGGGGGTTTAAGGCTCTCAAGTATGGCTATATCTAAGCCATCGATTGAACTACCGATCTGCGAATCAGAGTGCGACCAACAGTATCATCTCTGCCGAATCACCTTACCTTGTCACAACACAGAGCTATCGCCGGTTGCAAAAGTAACAGAAACTCGCGCAGGAACAATTATTTATGAATAGCATCTACCGATCAACCAAACATGAGCCATCAATAGTGACACTGTGCTTTTTCACTCGTTCTTACGCGAAGCACAGCGCATCCGTCTCTTGCAATGTGCCACACAAACTGTCGTAGTCCAAAAATCTACCTAAAGAACTACCTACCGATCTGCGGATCAACGTGCCATCGATGGTGACACACTTGTGCTTACTCGCTCGTCCTTTGCCAAAGCACAGTGCTTTCGCCTCCTGCAAAGTGTCACATACAATAGCAGCCCCACACGCGAACTCGATGGCTCTGGTGATATCCGCACTGTACTTAATCACATCCACTACGGGACGTTTGGTGCCTCCTCTGAATCATATGGTTTGAAGTGGTATGGAAAATTTGAGAATATTCAGGACGGAGGCAAAAATCGCATAATCACTTGCCCTGGTCACACATACGCATTCGTTACACTTGAGCATTCACACGGCTTACACCTACAAACCCAAGTACGCACACACGCACATACACGCATGGACATTACACAGAGATACAGGCAAACATACAGATGGTAATACAAGCACCAGGGAATGTAAACAGGCGTACACTTACAGGTTACGCAGCCGCTCGTCGACAGGCTTGCCCTCGATTGTTTGCAACGGAATGAAGGTGGCCACTCCACCCTTCTGTACCTTGAGATACTGCATGCATGATTTGGCCGTTTCGACAGTATCCACTACGATAGCGTCCATGTTTTTGCCTACATGTAGCGAAGAATAAAAGAAGGTTTGATTCCAGCTGTAAATTTTACGGTGGCGACTTACTGCTGTCTGTATCTAGTATCGAACAGTTTGAGAACCAGATAAACTGAAAAAAATCCTGTTCTGTCTCGATTGGTGGCTAAATTTCATTTAGATCAATTGTTGCCGGATGACAATATGGTCTATTCGCCATTCGCTATTAGATGCTCATGAACTCTATAAATACATCCGAAACTACCACTGGAAATAGACGAAATTACGCAGTCTTGTAAACAGCACGCGACCCCATTACAGGCGTACCAAACTGGTCATCGCTACCATCATAGGCATAAAAATAGGAATATCAGCAAGCGAGACCTTTGAGTTTACAAAACCCACTTACACGCCCTCCACAAGCATGTATATAACCACAGCAGATACTACGATACACATGAAAGTCGTCACAAGAATACCAATTACCACCCAGACTACATACCCATCACAACAGTAATGGCGGCATTGAAGCGCTTATGCGTAGGGGAACAAAGGTCCATTAGTCGACCCTTGACACCTGGGAACAGCCGTTTCATCTCCTCCAAACACTCCAAAAACTTGCGATCACGTTCACTCTCGTTCTTATCTGCCTTAGCTTCTCTCAATTGCCCGTCGATCTTGGTCAGTTGAGCGCGAGCATTTTCCAGCTATTTGTGATTTGTAATATAAAAAAAACGTCTACTATTAGTACGAGACCTTATGATTTATCACAATTTACATATGTTCGGATTGTGAGCTATGTTATACACACATAATGATAAATAGTGGGTATAACGGGTTTACCTCAGCAAGTACAGATGTGGGATCAAATTTGAGAATTAAAAAGCGTTGTGCTTTTGGCAACTAATCTTGTAGATCAATAACTAGTTTGGTCGGAAATTGGCATACAACTGCAAAATCGCGTGCGTAAGTACAGTTGAGGTGCATATAGATACTAAATTAATCTTCGCGAGCAATTTGTACACCTGTTTTAAATATAGTGACAGGCATTAGAACAAGCAACGTTTACAGGTATACTTGCAAATAATTTTTCAAAGTTAAAGCAACAAACAATTTCAAAAGATGATAAAGAACTTCATTGTACGGAAAAGAACTCTCAGTAAATACCATTGCATTCGATACTATATTTACAATTGTAATGTACGTGTACAAATACACATGCTTTCCTAACATACAAGTAACTTCTCACTGTATGAGTGCGACCAACCTTAGTGCTGTCCCGGCTGTGTGTCTTGGAGTGGGCCGTGACCTGATCCGTAAGCTCAAGCACCTTCACCTCTTGCTCCTTCATCTGTGCTGCGAGTTTCTCTCTGCGCAGCTCAAAGTTCTTCGCCCGGCTCTCCTGTGCATCCCTAGTCTTACAGAACTGGCTGAGCTTGCCTTCTTCTCTGTAGGTAGATTGGTCGGGGGCATCGTTAGTCTGAACGCTTGACTACATCTAAAGAACCGCCTATACATATACTAGGATTATACATAAAACTGTCCGAAAGAAAAGAGGGTCCTTCGAACTAAAAACGTGTGGCAAATGCTGAATACACATTCCCGTGCTGACAATTGATCGTAAATCATCGCAAGCGGAAACCAGCCCACTGTGGAGACTTGCAACTAAACTATTCTCAGTAATGTGAATAATTCTCTTTACTTCAATGAATTAACATGGACCAATCATAAGCAATAAGCGAAAGGTAAGATTCTTACCGACTGAGATTCTCGGTGGCTATACGCATTGTACGTTGTACCTCGTCTATCTTGCTCTGGAGTGCCATTGTTTGATTCTTTGATGTTGATTTGAGTTTGTTATACTGCATCAAAAGTCAGAGAGAAAAGAATCAGTCATACATACAACTTTCAAATATAGTGGATGATTCTAAGTATGCCGTGGCGAACCAGCACTCTGATAACCCAAGTATAATATACTATCTGATTGTCAGGACGTTCAAGGTTATAATATTAGGCAACTTTTCAGCAGGATGTACCTTCAATGGAATGAAATGCAGATTACTGATTTGAGAAATACAGAAAATAACCAGGACAGTACACTATATTGAAAGACCGTATCTCAGGAAAGAAGGATGTATCGTGTCACTAGAAGATTGTCACCGTTGCTCCAGTGTAAAAATGATGCATCTACCAAAAAAGAAAAATACAATTTTATATAAACATATACATATAGACACATATCACCCAGTAGACGAAATATATCGATTCACACACACACACACATATATATATATATATAATAAATACATATAATAATGTATATATATATATATATTATTATATATATATATAATATATATATATATATATAAAATATATCTATATCTATATAGATATGATATAATATATATATATATATACTCGTACGCTCACTCATACACTCATACACATATATATCTATATCTATATCAATATCTATATATATAAATATATACATAATATATAGTGTGTATGCGTGTTTATAGTATACATTTAAAAACAAATGGATTTTTATATTGTATTAACACAAGAGAGGATGTATGCACCTGTTCCAATTGCGCAGTAGCCAAAGTGATATCAGCAGAACCCCCTTCTCCGGTTATCTCGGCCTCATACTTATTCTTACGACGGGCGATATCCTTGATATCACGCTGTATGATTCGCAATGGTGAACGTAGGATTTTCAGCACAGCTACTTTTGAATACTGAGATTGTGCTCTCAATATTGCGGAGCTAATCGATAACCATGGTAAAGTAAATACCAGTCTACATTGTCTCGGATGTGTCATTTCGTGGCTTATTACAGGCCGAAATGTCGATAGGCCCAGTCACAGGCAATCGGTAAAACATTTACCACCAGGCCTACAGTCTGCAACATACTGAGGCGTTAAAAGAAAAACGTGGAATGAACCTACGCTATACACCTAATATCTCCACAAGCAATTCGGTACTCAAATAGACGTACAAATATCTAGATAGACGATTACTGTGAGAGTATGAGTCATTCATACAGAATGCACATACACACCTCGAGCTTGTCCACCGTGGCCTCCTGTTTCGACACATCCCTCTCCGCTTGCTGGAGATGCGCGCGCTCTTCCTCGATCTATTGATAAAATGACAAATGTGACGATTATTCAACACGCATATCTATCTACTTCAAACATTGGGGAAAATATCTTAAGTGTAGAGGTTATTTCTTTTTTTCCAGATGAAAAAATGCCTCTAGGTGTTAGTGCTTCATTGTGTACAGACTTTTAGTATCGTTCCTTGCTTGCCATGATGACTACACCTCAAATTTAGTGAGTGGGACAGCGAGTAGAACCAATTAACTAGTTAAACATATATAGTTCCATCAGTGCCTGTGTCACATGCGTGTACGTATACGTGTGCATTTGAAAAAGATATTGTGGTTTCGCTATTGACAAACGTGAAGTATCAGAACGTGAAGTATCAGAACGTGCATCGAAATCAATTGGGTGGTAAGCAAGTTCGTCCTTGCTAGGTACATCAAAACGACAGGCAGGTGAGGAAATGAGGGAGCGGCATACCAAGTCCAAACGTGATCACTGAAAAACTTGTGACTGTGTCTGGAATTCAATACAAACAAATTTTTTTCGGGTGTAGATTGCACATCGCAAACATATATGTACATGTACATCAACAATGGTCACATTCGCACACAGATTACGAAACTAACCTTTTTCTTGCAATGCTCGAGCTGCTGTAAGATTTTTGTTCGTTTGGGCCGCACCTTCTTTAATTCCCGATTCTGCAATGTAACGACAACCCCGGGTTAAGTAATGCGACATATTTTGTTGTTGTTGGATTTCTTGGCCCGCTTGACATTCGAACCCAGAGTATTCAGAGATCAAGGGAACGTACTCACAGAAAATCGCTTGACAATACAGTGTAATTGTTAGAGTGCCGTGCCGCATCAACAAATATATTATACAAATTCCGAGGATGCATACAAGTACGCACACAAATAACTCTTTGAGTTGGTAAGCACACTCGCACACAACGATATGTATAAATACTTAAATATACAGACATGGTCGCCTAGCACTGAACATACTCCCAAAGACGTACGCTCATACGGGCATAAACACCAGCCATTCCACTTCTAGTCTCATACTTGCGACTTTTAACCGCAGACGTTCATGAAAAATAACACCTCACGTGCACGCCGTCTCGTATGCATAAACGCTACTGCAGGACTATCAATAATTATACTCGTACATATGAAAATCCTTATAAACTCAGTGTCCCTTTAGCACGTTCATGGGATTCGTTCGATTTTTCAAATAGCACGAGCTCACCTTGTCCCTGATTTGATCGTCAAATTTGACCAGCTGGGACTGTTCTTTGGCCAATGCGCGTCGCCTACTGCGTTCCTGTTCTTCGGCTTTAGTTTGTTCGGCTTTTGCAATCTCTACATCCTTGCCGAGCAAATTGGCCATATTCTACAAATTCAAGCATATACGTAGAGAGAAAATTATACAATTAGTCCTGCATGCGAGAGCCATGAAAGAAAACGGCTGGGTAAGGGTTTACAATCTTGATACAATGTTTATAGGCGTCTATGGATAATGATACAATATCGTGATAGTACATTTTTACTAAATAACCAATCATATACTTGTGAAGGCAGATTGTCACAGTGAAAGAAAGCCATACAGTAGCACAGAGTTCTCCTTTCGCAGGCGAATGATGGTAGAAGCGTTCAACACTGAATACACAGAACACTCAATACATATACACGTAAGTTGTTGCAAAATATAAATACAAAAAGGAGCCGACTGGCACAAAAGCCTTTCTTTTGGGAGGGAGGAAGGGGGGGGTAAAGGGAGGACGTTAAAAGTTTGTGAATCACATACCAGAGATCCCTTCATCTGCCGCTGAATGTCCCAGAGCTGGAACAGGAAATATTGTACTTCAATTTGATCCTGAAGGCAAATGGCCAATATGATAGGCAGTATCGATTAGAAAAGTTGAGAAAAATAAACGATTATATGAATTTCAGTAAGACTAGACGTTAGGGAGTGTGGGTTACGTATATTAAAATCGAATACATAATAAAATGATTTGAGCGACATAAAATAATGACTAACCACCTATATTTGCGTATTCGGTGCTCAAGCTGGTGTGAGTGCCCTGTGCATTGTTCTAGCATACATAATAAACTTGGGACTATGTATGTATGCGTATCCGCGTATACGTGTGTGTATATGTGTGTGCCTTGGACTTTGTGTGTGTGAAAGAGGGTGTAGAATATGTATATGAATATGAGCCTATGTAAGCATTCTTGCGCGTGTATGTGCACATATATATGAAGAAGTCAGAATTCTTCCTAAATCTTATCACTTTGAGAGCGAGTGGCTCAAATAATGTGTAGCCAACATCAACATAGTCATAGACAGCCCGTACCCGAATCGGGTTCACGCCTACAACAGTTGTAGCTTTCGGACATCGCAATTACCTCCCAGATACAAACTACGTCTCCAAACGTACTTGTGTTCTAACACTACTTTTTGCAGTGAATCACAATATTAATTTTGCTATCAAACTTTCATATCTCAAATTCACTTGAACGTGAAAATACCAGCCTCAATCTTTTTTTACCTGTTGGGCACTCAAACCCCTAATTAAACAAATATCATTATTAAATACAGTCTCCGCCTATAATATCATCAACACAAACTCTACGCACCCTATTGTTGGTCAGCTTTTGGAACTTATCGGCCTCATCTTTCTGTTCCTTGAACTGTTTCTTCTCTGAGTTGATACCCTTGCGGCGTTGGTAGAAGTCTTTGAGTTCCTCTTCCGCTTTCTCCTTCTCGACCTGCGCATTTTCATAATCGGGTTTCATCGCTCCGGAACTGCAAACAAATCATATCGCATCATTGATTAAACTTAGACCAAATTGAACATTCAATGTGAGAATATTACATGTATTAGGTGTTTTTCGTTTGAGAATCAGGTACAACTAGTTCGTGCATATTCGGATTCTGCATCCAACCCATCCCATGTGCTACGGCATGATAAACAAATGCCATCAGTCCTTTCGATTGTATTGACGGAGGCTGTATTGAAACGAGAGGATTTGTGTTTACATCTATCTCACAAATACCTCACAATGTTTCGCAAGTGAGAAGCTTAGTTTACTGTCAGACAATCATGAAGAGTCTCAGCACTATGCGTGCTAGAAAATGCTAGCAGCAATAAGTTTAGGCGGATAGGGGGGAAGAGAAGATGGGG